GCTCAGCCCAGCACAGGGCTGGAGGGCTGAACTCCTGCCTTACGGCCAGAGCTGCCCTTTGCTCACTCCTTAGCTTTGGGGAAATCACTTGTTAGGTGTAGGATCCACTTTCAAAAGTGGCCTCTGGCAGTTATGTTTAGGCATCCCTCAGGTCGTGGGTGCTGAGCATGAGGATACTTAACTAGAGGATGTTAAGCATCTCAGAGCATTGTGGGGACTTCTGGCTGCTCAGTGCTTGTAAAAATCAGGGTCAAACCTTATTGCTCCTGAAAACGTGGGGTTTTTTGCTCTTAATTTGCCTTTATAGATACCTGAGTATAAGAAGTAGTGCACCAAAGTGTCTGCATTCTAGCCATTTCCAGTAGGAGAGGGGTTAAAAGACATAATCCCTACCCGGTCAGGGTAACTCAGCTGGCTGGAGACCCCCAGTGTGGATGCAATAACACAATCTATATGTTGTACAGGCACAGTGACTTTCTGGCCAGCTCTAGCTGTTCCCCAACAGGGTGCAGGCAGGGCCGTGACTACAGCGAAGGCTGCTGACAGGGTAAGGAATTGGGCCCAGGAGTGCCGGAGCTACCCAGTGCCCCGAGCAGCGCGTCCCCTTTGCATGTACCCCCCACTCTGAGCAGGCATGCGACGGCAAAGACAAAAGTCTCACAGCAGCACTGATGTCCTTGGGGGAGAGAAATTTGGCAGGAAAGCTGAATGGGTTGCGGGGAGGAAGGCATTGAAATAATTTATTTCCCTGGGAACTGGTTTGCTCCACTCAACGTGAAGTCGAGATGCTGGGCTCAGATCTAGACCACACAGGCTTGTAAGTCTCTACTGGATAAACTCTAGAGATGGAGGTTGAATTGTTCTCGCACCCCAGATGACGGTCCCTGGAGGAGCTGGCTGAGGACCATGCGAGGAGGGAAAAAGTTCAGTGATTTCCCTGCTCCTCCTTGTAGGCTGCTTCTTTGCTAGAAGTGTCTTTGGTAGGTGCAGGCAGCCTGGGCTGTTGAGAGCTCCCTACACCGATTTCCTCTCTGCCCTTACGGAAGAGGAGCTGCTCTGCCCTCGCTGTGAAAGCCAAGGCTGAAGTTACCTCCGGTGCCATGGTTAGAGGACGGCTGCAGAACTGGTTGTTCTTTGTTACACCAAGCGTTTGTCGTCCAAACCTAAACAATAGCAGTAACTGTACCCACCACACAAGTGCGGGTCAGGGCCAAGGATTCTCAACACTCCCGTGATGAGTTCATCTGGAGAGTCCCTGCATTGCAAAGGCAATGTTCTGCTGGGACTTGTTCCCTGCTGGGAAATTTTGCAGAAACCCAGTTAAAGGTGCTGTTGGTTGCCTTGGCCGGGTACCCACCTTGGCACTGATTCACCTTACTGCTGCTGGTGGGGAAGAGGTGAGGTGGCTGGGGAGGGAAAGGGTCTCTCTGAGTAGGAAAAACTTCAGTGGCTCTTCCCATGTCAGAAGCGTGACATATTTTTGATGTGACAAGCTTTGGTTCTTGTTCCACCTGAGGCTGCATTAGCCAGGGCAGGGAGAGCCAGGAAGCTGGGGAAAGCCAGGTGAGGCTTTGAGGCAGAGAGGTGAAGCAGGGCTGGGGAAAAGAGGAGACTGACTTCTTGGGTAGGAGAGAGTGGTCGCTGCAGGGTATGTGTCTCCCAGAAAATGGGCCAGTGTGTGGCACAGTTTTAGCCTTGCTCCGAAAGCCACGATAAAGGCCACTTTGGGTTTGCTTGGAGCCAGGTAGAGGTGGGATTTCTCTCTTCAGAACAGCGCATGCCATTGGAGCCAGCTCCGTGAATGAAACAGCTTGATTAAAGCTGTTTGGTGGCTCACTGGCTCTTTCAGTGCTGGCAAACCCAAACCATCCCTGTCTTTCCCAGTGCACCTCCCTCGGTATCAATAAACGTGCTGTAATTCCCTGATGCTAGAGTGGCACTGGAGAGTGCCTAACACCTAGAGTTCGGGCAGCACCGGAGCCCTTTTCATGCTAGAGTTGCTTCCTTTAGATGCCATGGAGTGAGACAGAGCTGGGAGAGGGACATGGGCCAGCACAGGGGATGCAGGGAGGTGGAGGAGAAGTGACCCCCTCTCTGGGGGACACAAGCCCGGTGTAACAGGGGGTTGGAGGCATTGAGGGTGCTTGGGGCAATCGCTTTTGCAGGCAGCAGTGTCAGCAGGGCTGGTGGTATGGCTGGATTAGATAAAAACCTGGCGTTGCTGCCTAGGGTAGTGTCCAGGCAGCCAGGCACAGAGCTTTTCTGATTGAGCCGGAGGGAGCTGTGGCAGGCAGGTGGGCAGCAAAGGGCGGGCTGGGTGTGTGCCCGAGGGCAGGAGCGGGGAGACTTGAGGGAGACCGGCCGTGCCTTTCTGAGGGAGGAGAATCGGGGCGTGGAGGAAAGGATGGGTTGTGCAGTGAGACACCACCGCGATGATCTTTACTGTCTTCCCCCTTGCTCTTTGCTCCCGCAGCTGTACCTCCCCCACTGCAAGATGACCTTTCCCCACCTTTTTCTGTCTTTCTGTCTGTCTTTCTGTCTGTCTTTCTGTCTGTCTTTCTGTCTGTCTTTCTGTCTGTCTTTCTGTCCCCTACCAATGAGCTCTTTTCAATGATGATTTTTACAGGGATCTTTACCAGAGGTTACATGGCCTCATCGACCTATAAATCAGTAAGCACAGAGATAGGCAGATAAATATTTAGATGAGCTGAGCAGCAGCCCTGAGTCACTTGCTGGTGTGATGGGAGCAAGGCTGGAGCTGAGGCAGTTCAGTAAGGTGCTTTGAGGGCAATACAGCAGTGGCTGGTGACCCTGTGCACTCTTGAGTTTGCTCCTGGTGTCTGCCTTGGGTTGGAGGGAGGAGTGGGTGCTTGTCTTGATGCCTGAGAGCTGTCCATTTGCTCTACTGGTGCATTGTCATGGCACAAATTTGGTCCTTCCTCTCCTGTGTGCTTGGAACTCAGAAACACTTACCTAAATCCTTTGTCCGAATTCATCACCGGATGGGGTCACTGAATCCAGGACCCCTTTGTATACTGTGGAAGTGGTGCCTTGGGACCTGAGCCCTCGTGAGAGGGAGCTTATCTCTGCAGGGCTCTGTGGGTGCAGCTTCTGGACTTTGGAGGCAGAGCAAGGAACCTGCAGCTGTGTGGGAACTGGTCGGGAGCTCTGGACCGTTGGCTGGGAGCAGTGAGAGCTCAGTCTCATATGTATCAGCTGTGAGGAGGAGAGAGAGTTGGGTGTCTGAAGGCTAATTCTTAAATAGGCACATCAGAAGGATTAATCAGTTGCTAAGCATGGTCTCATTTTGCAAAAATTGCCTCTAACCTGGGAAGTACTGCACTGTTTTTAATCTCCCACCCGTAGAGGTTTTCAGCCTGAGTACAAAACATGGCTAGCCCTATTTGCTTTTTTTCTAATTTAAAAAAAAAAATTTTTTTTACATTAAAATTAAATCTGCAGCTGAAGGATGTGACAGGATCAGATACTACTTTTAGTCTATTCATCCTTGGGCCTTGCACAGTATGGGAGCCCACAGCAGAAGAGCTCAGCTGGAAAGCAGCTGGACTGAATGTAGATGGGAACATGGGTTGTTCCAGTGGTGTCAATGTCTCAGTGGGAATTCTCCCCATTAAAGCTGTCAAAAAATAATGATTCCGTAGTAATTTCACAAGCTTTCTTGCTATCTCTTTCTTCCCAAACCTTCGTGTCCTGCTCTTGTGGTGAGTTTTCAGTCAACAAATGCAGACAGCAGAATCCTTTCTCCTATCCTGGGCAGGGGCACTCATCCCAGGCTGCGGCTGTTCTTTCAGCTGTCCAGATGTGCACTCACTTGCATACCTTTTTCTCTTCTGGGCATGGAAGAGAAGGCAGGGAATAAATAATGGACTGTGTGAGCTAGTCTGCAGGAAAAACTCGGTGCGGACACTGCTTAGACTTTGTAGCAAAGAGAAAAGCTCCCTTCGCAGGGCAGAAGGAGGTTTGGGAGGAGCTGAGCTTATGAGCCATACAACAGCTTGGGAGGAGAGGGAAGATCTTAGCAGCTTGGCATAGCTTCTGTTTGCTGGTCCCTAGCCACCAGTATCTGTCCAGCTCTCTCTGGAGGGTGTTGTTACAAGTGATGACTGTGGGTCGGTGCCAAAAGGGAATAATTGCTCTTCGTATGGAGGAGAAGGCACCGTTCCGATCCATCTACTTAGCCCTTGCAATAATGTGGTCTGACACCAAAACAGGGGATGGTGGACTCCTACAGAGTGTACAAATGCCCCTGAAGCCAGAAGCCAGCTGAATTGATAGCTGCATAGGAATTTACACCAGAACAGGATATAGGGAGGTTTTGCTATTGAACAAGGTATTCTATGAGTCTACATGGAGGTAACTATGACTGGTTTCTGAGCTGGTTTTGGAGATGGGCTACAATCCATGACAGAAGCCCTATACAGAAAATGCCAGAATTATTGACCCAGGCAGAAAAGAAGGTCAGCTGCAGCTGATCATAATGAGTTCCTTCTGGCTTTAACAATTTGACTTTCATTTCTGTTCCACATACTGTTGGGTTCAGAAATTAATAATTTGCTCTTCAGGATACCAGTTGCTCAGAAGCAAGTGAGGGAAGGCAGCAGACGAAATTTGGGGCTGCCTGCCCTAAGTAATGCATGGAGATAATGGATATCCAGTATTTATTTAACAAAACAAAACGAGACTTCTTGGAGGCTCGCCTCCCTTCTTGGTAAAGGACAGAAACCCCCAGCTGTTGTTTGAGGGAGCCATGGCTGTGTGATGTGACTTGGCAGCAATTTGTCCTTGCCACAGTGGGATTGCGAAAACCCTTACTTCTTCACAGACACCAGTTATTATGCTGCAGGGTTTTGGGTGGGATTGAACCTGGGACTACACCCCTGTGCTCAGGTAGCAGAAGTATGAGACCTTTGACTTTGTTCTTTTGGCTGGAGCCTTTCTCTTTGACCCTGACTTCTCGGTTCACCCCACTCATGCCAAAGGTCTGTGACTCTCACTGTTTATTTATCTCTTCGTCAGGAGGTGAAAATCTTCCGTGCCTTAATCCTAGGGGAGCTGGAGAGGGGCCAGAGCCAGTTCCAAGCACTCTGCTTCATCACGCGGCTTCACCGCAACGAGATCATCCCCAGCGAGTCCATGGCAAAGCTGCGGCAGGTGAGAGGCACCCTGCAGCTGGCTTCAGTGCCAGCTCACCCTCCAGTCCACCCAGGGTTTCTTAGAGCTGTCCTGCCTGGACACTCTTGCCAGGCAGCTGCCTGATTGTTCAGCTATTAGACTCACCTTTGACCACCCTCCCCGTTTGAGGGACTTGGTATTAAACTCAGTTCATCAATAGTATTGATCCGATCTCTAATAAACTAGAAGGCGGCATGATTTAGTTCAGCCTAGCCTGTATCAAAAGGTAAGTGGATGGCTAGAATAATCGCAGTGAAAATCCCTGCTCCACATTGCCCAATGAATTAAGTACTGATTTGGGACCGTCCATCATGGCAAAGCATTGATAAACAATCACAGTCAAATCCGAGCAGTGATAAACTATCATCAGTTTTAGCATCAACAAGAAGTTTTATAAGTGCCTTCCAGATAGGATGCAGGTGTGTTTACTGAGGAACATCCATTTGCGCATCATCTTATGTTGGCATTAAATCATTACATACTATAAGGGATAATTTGTTGCAACCAGGGTTCAAGTTTTCATTATTTCTTCCTCTGCAGAAAAATCCCAGGACAGTGCGGCAGGCTGAGGAGGTGCGGGGCCTGGAGCATCTCAGCATGGATGTAGCTGTGAACTTCAGCAAGGGGGCCCAGCTGAGCTCTCACATCCACAATGTCTGTGCAGAGGCCAAAGAAGCAATTTACACCCGAGAAGAAGATGTCAAATTTTGGCTGGAGAAAGGTCAGTTTCCTTCGGTTTGGTTGGAACCGTTCCTGTCAGCAAGTTGGCACTCTGCTGTGATCTGTCCTGCCAGGTTTCTAGTGATCAGCACAGATCATTTTGGCTTCTCGTTGGCTGTCTGTAAGGTGGATAAAGTGTGTATATTGCTTGCTTGCACATCACATTGCATCGGTTTATTTGTTAGCATACATGACTTCTTTTGGTGATGCTCTCTTAGTGAATCTAATTAGACAGGTATTTTCAATATAACCTTTTACCTGGTCCATCGCCCAAAAGAAATATGTTCTTTACACACTCTGTGTATCTTTTGGCTTATTTTCCCCAGGACCTTTTCTCCCCTGGTTCCTATTCAGACTCGTTCTGTCCAAACAGCTCCTGGAAATGCCTTGGAGACTGTGCAGAGAGCACGACGCTTGCTTTGGTGGCTCTCTGCTTTGGGCTTGCCTTTAGGCAGCGCACTGAGCAATGTCTCTCTGTTTTCTCCTGCAGGGGTGGATGGTTCCATGTTCGAGGTCCTGCCACAGACATCTGACCTACCTGACCTGCAGCGTTGCAAGCTGTGTGCAGACCGCTGGAAACCCTGCATTTGCAGCTACTCACTGAGCATCGAGTGGTACCCGTGTATGCTGAAGTACTGCAAGAGTCGTGATGCTGGGGGCAAGGTTTCTTCATACAAATGTGGCATCCGCAGCTGCCAGAAGGGCTACACCTTTGATTACTATGTGCCGCAGAAGCAGCTATGTCTCTGGGATGAAGAGACCTAGCAGAGCCAGGCCAGACCTTTTCAAGGGGCAGCTCATCTGCCTCCTGCCACCATTTATGATGCTAAGGGCCTCCTGGAGCTGGCTGCTCCAAAGAAGGAATACGGTTCTCAGCGGTGCCTTGGACCAGGGGAGCTGTGTGTGTGTGCCTTTCCTTCTGGCCCTCTGTGACTCCCTCCCCACCTGATGCTGCCTCATACTGTGATAAGCGGACTCAGCTCACTGCATGCTGATGCTCTTCTGCCAACTGCCAGGAGATCCGGCTTTCTGGAAGAAGCAGGAGATGCAGGTTTCTGGGGTGAAGCACCAGGAGGGGTGTGTTTTGTCGTGCCTTGGAGTTAGCAAATGTGAAGGAGGGCAGCTCTGATCAGTTATTGGCCTCGAGCATCCTGATGAGTGGTCAGGGCAGGGAGAGAAATGGTCTTGATGACTGGGTTGTCAAACATGTCTGCCACCGGAGAAGCCCTTTCACTGTCTTCACCTCCTGGTGACACAACAGCATTTCCCAATGGGAAAACAGCTGATTTATGGGACCAGATACCCTGAACAAGGAAGGTACGAAGACTACCCAAAGCCAAGAGCCTGCCTGTAGCTTTTTCTAGTGTCCGACTGGCTGTTACAGCCTTCCTGTGGCTAGAGGATATAATGGGGGGATATATCACAGCAATTACTTTTGCCCCTAAAAGGCTGGTAATTAGGGCTCTAATTAATCCCTATTTAGACTAGTGAAGGCCCAACTTTTTGTGTTGGTCCTGCGAGTCTCTCACTAAGAAAGAAACATCTAGAGACTTGTGACTACCATCATAACATTGTGGTTGCAAGCAGGGAGGATGATGCCAGGTGGGTTCTCACTGATGTTTTGAAGATGACAACATTCTACATCTACATGCAGTTTCATGTCCTACTCTGCCAGCTATTCACAAGAAGCTCTTAAATAATTACTGCTTTGCTGTGCCTTTGTTTCCCTTTATATATAAAACAGGGACAACACTGAAGCTGACCTTGGCCCCATTATATACCAGGAGGGCATCAAAATAAAAGCACTGCAGGAGTGCTGCCTGGTTCCTCTGTCCTCTTCCCCTCAAGTTAGAACAATCAGGGAGAGGAGAGAGGCTGTTGGGGTCATTGTGAAAGCCTGTGCCTCCTGGTGAAAAGCCTTCACAATGTGCCTTTTTGCCTAAAAACCAGGAATTTTTGACAAAGGAAAAAAACCAAAACAATTTGGTCACTATTTTTGTATTGATCACTTAAGGGGGGAGACGGGAAAGGTATTTTAATATTGCAACATGAAGTAAAAAACACTTGAAATGATTTTTTTAAAACAAATTATTTATCATTTGTAAGGTCAAATAAACTGATTTTTTTAAAGCATCCCTGGCCTAAAAGATTCTCTGTGCATCATAATTTGTGTGTGATCCAGCTGTTGGGTTCTTGATTAAGAGTTGTTCCCTTATGGGTAAGTCTCAAGCCTGCACCTAGGACATTGAAGACCCATGGATAGGGGTGGACCATCCTGCTGTTCAAGATGAGCACAGCACTTACCAGTGTGGTCCTGCATGTCAAGCATATTGTCCACCCAGCCCCTTTGTAGCAAGATAGCTTTGATTCATCTCAAGCAACTGGAAGCTTTGAGCCTGAGCTCTGGTGAAGTAAAATACCAGCAGTAGAGGCAGGTCCTGGGGTTAGGCAGGCTGGTGCCTGCTCTTCTCTCTGAGTGATTGTGGGGTCCCAAGAGGGGACATTGTGCAGATGTGCAGCTGCACCATGTGGCTGGAGGAGTGTCTGGGTCCAACAGCGGCAATAAAGTATTCTTTGTCTGTTCTCTGCTTCTACAGCTGAGGGGCAATGAGGGTGGCAGAGTTTTGGGCCAGCTCAGAGCTCTTAGCTCAGCGGCTGCTGGAGGGAGAACTGTGGAGTGCTGATTCCCCCTAGTGTGGTGAATGTAGAGACAGGACAAGGACTTCTCAGCTCTTCCCCACTTGAGCCACAGTGGAAACTTGCCCCCTTACTGGGATTTCTGGGGAAGCTGAAATTGCTTCTTCTTGGCATACATGGTCAGCATGACAAGGATGTGCTCTCTGCTGCCTCAGCTCCTGCTGCAGCTGGACACTGTGGGACTTTGTCCCTGCTTGCTGGAGTTAAATCCAGCTGTGGGGCAAGGTGGGCTGTGAGCAGAGTGGGAGAGGACTCTAAGGTGGCTTCATGCCTTCCTGCTGGGAGTCCATTTCCACTGTTACCTCCTGTATAGGGTTGCTGGGAGGGGACATGAGCTTGTTTTGGGAGCACTGAACGCGCTTATTTTGTAGCGGTGAGGCTCTGGGGTGCCTGGATCGTAGAGACATCTCAGCCTTTGCCTGGCTCTTTTGGCAGCACTGAGCTGAGGTATTCCCAGGAAAGCAGCACGGTGCACAGCACTACCAAACCATCGCCTCGGCTCTGTGGGGTGACCGAGGAGCCTTTTATGAGCTGGCCTCATGTTCAGCAGTGCAGGTCGGAGGGTGTTTTGAGCTTCTGTGTGCAGCAGGGCCAGTGCTGTGTGGTGGGAGCTCTGGGAGAAGCAGATAAGTGAAGGACTCGAACTCTATACGGGCAGCATACGCTGAGCTGAACGCGATAGTTTCTGCATCAGTGCGCGCTCCGGCGGAGCTGGGCTTTGAGGGGAGGCGAGCAACCGGGGCAGTCCCTCGGGCGTGCTGCGATCCGCCGCGCTCTCCCA